TAAAAAAAATCCAGGTATGGTACTCAAAAAAAGGTGAAGAGAGGCAGACATTTTGGAGTCACTGGCATGTAGGTAGCAATTAAAATTAGGCATTTCCTGGAAGAGATTGAAGCATGATAAGAAAAGAAAATCTAGAATAAAACTCTGACAAAGTTCATCTTTCAAAGGTCAGAGGAGGAGGAAATGTTAAAAGAAACTGAAAAGGAATGGCTAGAAAAGTAGGAGGAAACCAAGGAGTTTTTCAATGAGAAGACTATGGTCAACCAAGAAGATTCTGAAAAAGATATCCAGGGAGAGGAGAACCAGAAAGGGTTCATTGAGTTTGGCAGCAATGAGATTCTTGGAGAGAGCTGTTTTGTAGAGCTGGAAACAGAATGGTAAAAGCAAAATTGAAGTGGACTGAAGTAGATATGTGGGAAAGAACCAGAGGAAGGAAATTATTTCTGGGAGTTCAGTCTTGATGGAGAGAGAAAGTAGGGACAGTAGTTAGAAGACACTGTTAGTCGTCTAGTAAAGTTTATTGTTGTTTAAAATGAGAGAGAGATAGCTTTGTTTAAATGATAGTGGCAAACAGAGGTTCTAATTCCTAATGTGAGGATAGATCATCTTTATAGCTACTATCTCCATGGTAGCTGAAGGAAGAGGGTGAGTTTAGAGGCATTTGCTGATGGCCAGGGTATCTATCCTTTAAACTGAGGCCTAAACCTTTTTTTGATAGTTTCTTCCTCTGATTGCTATTCTAAGAGTCTGGTTTCCTGCTGCTTAACCTCTGTAGGCTTAGACAATGCTTAGACAATGCTAATAGATCCTGGATTTTTAATCCGGTTTTTCCTCTCTATCTGTTCCCATAGACTGTGGTTTCACCTCAGTTACATTTCTTAAAGATGTTTTGTTTTTCATCATGTGCTATAAGGGAAGAACCTTATATTTGAACCTGGATTTTAAGCCTCCAGTCTGACCAGAATCTAAGCCTCTATTCACTTCTACTCAGACACCTTCTATGCTTTCAACCATTATCAAAAGTGCTACTTGAAAACAGACTAAACTCCCACATTACAGTATGTCTATGCCTGGAAATTTCTGTTGTCGTGCCCATCTACTGGTGTAAAGCCTCTTCTGAATGTTAATTCTTACTCGTGTTCAATATTAGGTGTATATGTTATTCTGGTTATTACTCTGCCCTGGATTCTGCCAGAGAGGTCTCTATATCTCATGGTTCTTCTTAGTAAAGAAGTGACAAAATATTTCAGGGTTTTATTTCTATACTAAAAAATAAACAGATTCTGTGGGGATATTATTTGTTCACTGAAAACTACAAAACGGCTTTGAAAGAAATTAAAGACAAACAGTTAGAAGGACTATGTTCATGGATTGGAAGAGCTAATATTTTTAAGATGGTAATATTTCCCAAATTGATCTACAAATTCAATGTAATTCCTATCAAAATCCCAATTGCCCATTTTATAGAAAGTGGCAAACTAGTTCTAAAATTTATATGAAAATGAAAGAGATCCAGAAAAAGGACAAGGTTGGAAGTCTCACATGTCCTGAATTCAAAGCTTACTACAAAGCAAAAGATAATATGGTAGGGGCGCCTAGCTGGCTCAGTTGGTAGAGCATACAACTCTTGATCTCAGGGTTGTAAGTTTGAGTCCCAAGTTGGGTATAGAGATTACTTAAAAACAAAATCTTAAAAAAAAAAAGGTAGTATGGGGCGCCTGGGTGGCTCAGTCGTTAAGCGTCTGCCTTCAGCTGAGGTCATGATCCCAGGGTCCTAGGATCGAGCCCCGCATTGGGCTCCCTGCTAGGCAAAAAGCCTGCTTCTCCCTCTCCCACTCCCGCTGCTTGTGTTCCCTCTCTCGCTGTGTCTCTCTCTGTCAAATAAATAAATAAAATCTTAAAAAAAGGGTAGTATGGTAGTGACATAAGAATAGACAAATTGATCAATGGAAAGGAATTGAGAGTCCAGAAATAAAACCACATATCAACAAAAGGTGCTGGGACAATTAGATATCCACATGTAAAGAAATAAAGTAGGACCCATATGGCACACCATATGCAAAATTTAGTGTGAAATGGGTCGAAGTCTTACATTTTAGAGCTAAAAGCATAAAACTCTAAAAGAAAATGTAGTAATGAGTCTTCATGACTTTGGATTAGGCAATGGTTTTTAGATATACTAAAAATACACACACACACAAAGAAAAAATAAACAAATTGGAGTTTATCCAAATAAAAACTGTGCTTCAAAGGACATTATCAAGAAAGTAAAAAGACAATCCATAGAATGTGGGAATATATTTGCAAATTATATATTGGATAAGGGACTGACATCCAGAATATAAGGAACTTTCACATCTTAATAATAAAAAGACAAATAACTCAATTTAAAAAGTTGTAAAGGTATTTGAATAGACATTTCTATTTTATTTTGACAAATAAGGACTTTCTGAACTCTTTTAAATGAAAAAAAATCCATGTACACACTTATCAGAATGCCAGAGCCTCTATTTTTGCCTTCTCCCTTCTCTCTGCTGTTTTTTTTTTCACTCATTTAACTGTATGTTAGGAATTCTACCATGAAATAACAGGGTCAGAGGGAGGTCAAAATGAAATTGTTTAATTTTTTTTACTCACTGGAAAAAAAGCCCAACTGTTTAATAGAGTCAGAAAGTAATTATTCAAATGTATTTGAGTCACCATATGGACCCTGATTATCTGTGCTTTTCCTGTCACTCATTATGAGAATAGTTAAGATGTAAATGAATCTTAAAGTTATCTGTACATTATAATATAATGACAATGTCTTCATTGACAAAATAGAAATGTTATTTAGAAACAACACCTGAGATACAGACTAAGTGATCAAGAGGATTACTTTTGAAAATTTGAAGCAAAATGTTGTAAGTTTCCTTTAAAATTGGGATTTCTCTGATTTGAACAACCAATCACTTTCCATTTCTATGTTTTCCCAATCATGGACAAGAGACAACGTGGGTAGGGGTATGACTCTGAGGTAGATCTAGGTTTCCTTTTGGCTCCATAACTTGCTTCCTTTGCTGTAAAAGGTGAAAAATCAAAACAACTTTATAATTTGTGAGGGACTACTGTAAGAATTAAATAAGATACTATATGTGAAATGCTTAGAATAGGGCCTGGCATGGATGATGGCTCAATTACTGGCAATTATGTACTATTACTGTGTATACAAATAGTAACGACTCCAGAAACAAATATTCTAACTTCATTTATCTGTCTAATACAATCAATCCTGAAAATTTGTTTTTATTTGAACAACAAATTAGATTATATACTTATGAGAAGAATTTAGTAAAATATTTTTATTATTAAGAGAGAGAGTGATAAAAGATTTAGTTAAGGATATTCGTGGGCTTTTTTTCCCCAAAGTAGATGGAATGGTCACAGATAAGGAACTTATTTTTCATCACTTCACCAATATCAGTTAAAATATGACAGAAGATTCAGAGGGGTTACATGAGATTTCCTGAAACAAATGTTTATGGAACAAAAGTCATACATAACATTTTGCTTAGAAATGAGTCATCAGAGCTCTTTCTTCCAGCCATCCAAGACTTTGAAAGGAAAGAAGGCTGAGGGGAAGAAGTTGGCCCCAGCCCCTGCTATTGTAAAGAAGCAGGAGGCCAAGGAGAGGGTCAGTCCCCGGTCTGAGAAAAGGCCCAAGAATCGTGGCATTCATAATTTAATAGCAGAGGCAAACACACAGGATACATAACTGTAATGAAAGGAAGAATGGAGTGATGATAGATACCTAAGCAGTTTTGTGGTTGTCCAAAGGAGGTAAAAAGAAAAACTGCTAACGTCTGAAAGCAAAAAGAGAAAGAGATCCAAAAGACTACACAGAGATGGTGGCATTGGATCAGGGACTTAGGAGATGAGTAGGTAAAATGGTGGTGGAATGAAGGAGTCCAGGTAGACAGAAATATGTCAGCAATGCTCTGAAGTGAGGAAGTGCAAGATATGTTCGGGAATTGAAAGCCTACTGTGACTGGTGCAGAAGGACATGTAGTGGAAATGAGCCTGTGAAGGAAAAACAAGCCTGAATATCAAACTAAGTAGTTGACACTTTATTCAGGGAATTTATTAAAGCAATGGGCTCGCAAAAAGTTGGGATATTGCACTACTTTCACATCATCATGTGCTGCGCTTTATGCACCGAGAACTGAGTCAGTTTTAGAGCTAATGCATTGAGTCCTCCTGACAGAAGTAAATGCCAAGGCCAGAGGTCATTAGTACATCTTTGGAGCTATAAAATTGGAATTGTTGATATACGGAAAGACTTTGACTTAAAAAGAAAACCGTTACAATTAAAGCAAGCACTAAAGAGTGTAATTGACGGGACATTTGCCAACTTTGAATTAATTAGATTTAGCTTTAATCTCTAGAAGTGCTGGTTGCAGCAAAATGAAACCATCCTTCTTCAATGTAGTAAGACATTAATGTTCCCATTATGATTCACTTCCAATTTGAGCTCTTCCCAACTCAAATCTATTTGTTTGGTTAAAAATGAAGCAGTGGTTGCAAATAACATGGGCTATTAGGAAGACCTCCGTGGGGCTCTAAATTAGTCAAATAAAAGGCATTGTTCCCATTTCATTGTTATGAAAATCTAACCAACAGGTTCTACATTGCCAATTTTTGCTCTAAGCTTGTGTATGTGTCTGAGTGCGTGGGCGTGCATAAGAATGCCTGCTTTTAGTGAAATGGGCAGGTATGAGATATATCGATTGGGTTCTTCCTGTCATTGACCGAGTAGCAAACCTGTCACTTCTCCAAGTAGTGAATCACGTTGACAGAATGCATTACATTTTATAAGCTTTTTTCTTTGTCCAGATCATTTGTAGCTGAAGCACACTTGCCACCTTTTAAAAGTGATCTCTGCAGCATTCCAGAGCCACTGAAGTATTCATCTTGACCTGGAGAGTCCAGTTTCTCTGCTAGCACAGAAGAAGATTTTTAACATGAACAAGATCCTTTCAGCCACTCTTTGCTTTGGACTCCTAACTTTGTTATCTGTAACGATTTTTTTGGAATTGGTGCATGGACGGCCATACCTGATCCAAGGTATGTACACATGAGTCTAAAATCCTACAGATGGGTAAATAATCCTTATCCCCCTCTTTGCATTGCCTGGTTTTTCTGCCAATATCAAAATAATACTTTAAGGCATGAGTATGATGTAATCATTAAACATCTCTTCAGAAGTTGCTGTTTTAAATTAAATGTAATCTGTGAGGCTGTTCTTCACAAGTAAATTAATTTTAACCAACATTATACTAAATTTATCTCAACAACACTATTTTTTTTCTAATTATGAAGCACATTTTTCTTACTTCTACTCTATGACCAAAGGTAGTGAATGTATAAATAGTAATACAATCAATTAACTAATATGTGCATATCATTAAAGTACCTTTGGGGAAAGAAAACAGTATTTTTATCCAATGAGATTATAAATAAGTTACTTATGAAAGGAGAATGGCTCAGAGAATAACACATTAGGATGGAAATTTGTGTTTGCAGAGATTTGGAAATAATAATGCATGGGGAAATCTACATAGTATTTTCAGGAGGATGATGCTAACACCCACATCATGCATTGACTGTATTTATCAGATTTCTAACATATTTACGATACTTATGTTAAATGAAGTAATTTAATCTATGACATCTACAAATATTTGCCATGTAAAGTTGGAGAAAATAAGTTTCTGCTCTTGTAATACTGTAACTTGTATTGATCTTTCTTTAAAATTTTCAATGCATTTTGTAGTGGAAATAGCTCTTCATCTGAGAATCAGTGGAGCTAAATTTAATGTTGATTTATTAGGCAAACAACCTCATTTAAACTTTTATATATTTCTTTATGTTTGAAAAATAGTAACTTAAAATAGTGCTCTCTATTTTCCCTTGTAGCTTGAGATTTTGAGGTTACTGTCATCTAACTGACCTTGATGGGAAGGAACGAGCCTTTTGTTCTACATAGAGGAAACAAATCAGAACATAATACATTTGGTTTACATGATATTGGGTTGAGAAGAGGGATCAAGTATCTCTTTTTTAGATGGAATTCAATTTTACTAGACCATGTTGCTTAAATGTGGTTTTAAAAGTCAATGAGAAACAAACTGAGGGTTCTAGAGGGGAGGGGGTGGGGGGATGGGTTAGCTGGTGATGGGTATTAAGGAGGGCACGTTCTGCATGGAGCACTGGGTGTTATACGCAAACAATGAATCATGGAACGCTTCATCAAAAACTAATGATGTAATGTATGGTCATTAACATAACATAAAAAAAGACTAGAAGGAAGTAAGGAGGAAAGTGTAAAGCTGAAGGTTTTATGTGCTTAATTCACAATCCACTTCTGCATATTTAAGTGGAACATTTTTCACAAAAGAAAATTAATCTATTTGCCTTTCTTTACCAGTTTTGTTTCCAGTAACTACACTTGCATAACTGTCTTTAGAAAGTCTTGTCACTACCTTTTAAGGCAATCATCGTTTACAGGAATCTCTGAAGAAAAAGTTTTCTCAAAAAATTTTTTAAATATTTTTTATTCCTAAAGTTAAGATATTGTCTAAGAAATATAATAGAAAATAAGTCTTTTTTTCCTAGTTTTCATTTTTAGTTTTAAAAGAAAAAAATACACATACTTCGACTAAGTTTCTGTCTTTGAACTAAGGTCATTTGAAAAAATAAAATAAATAAATAAATAAAAGTTAATATTGATAAAAGAAATGTTTGAAAAAAAATTACCTGAGTATAAGGGGCGCCTGAGTGGCTCAGTTGGTTAAGCGGCTGCCTTCGGCTCAGGTCACGATCCTGGGGTCCTGGGATCGAGCCCCACGTCCGGCTCCTTGCTCAGCGGAGAGCCTGCTTCTCCCTCTCCCTCTGCCTGCCACCCTGCCTACTTATGCTCTCACTCTATCTCTCTGTCAAATAAATAAATAAAATCTTTAAAAAAAATTACCTGAGTGTAGATGCATCCTTAGCACAGAAGATGGCAAAGTTACCCAGACATGACAGAGTGAATGCTTTTGCAAATACACAGATAAAACTGGTTCATTACTACTTAAGATACTGACTCAAAAGATTTTATTGTCTCCTTGCTTTTCGTTCAAATTTGAAGCATTTTAGTGGAGACAGACGAGAAATTTTACCAGAAAGAAATCTGGAAACCCCCAAAATGATAAAATACTAAAAAATTAATAAATTTTTTGTAGTCTTCTGGGTCATGATATTCACTCTTTAATCTTTCGTGGTAGGCAATTTGCTCAGTGTGAGCATTACCCATCACGCTAGGCTTTTCTATAGCCCACCAAATGAAAGCTGGCAGACTGTGCCAATTGTCTTGAGTATTGACTAACACAGAAAGAACAAGGGGTGTTCTTTGTACTTTGTTAGCGGACAAATGCTTACTTGAAAAATGTGTCAAAAGACCACAATAAGTCAAACATTTGGCTGCTTTGACAAATGTGTATATGGAGAGGAGCTCATTTTAATCATAGACAATTTAGATCAGAAAATAACCTTATGAGTAATTTAATCTTTCCCATTTACACATAAGGCAACAGATCCAAGGGAGTCCCAGAGAGAAAACTTTTCAATATGCTGCCAGTGAGAGAAGGACATCAGTGTGTGGTCTTCTGGGGTCAGAGGCGATATTTAATTTGATTCTAGAAAAATGCTGTAGAGTTGGATTTTGCTGTATCCCATATCCACGTGAAATCAGAAGTAACATTTACTACTAACATCCTAATTTTGTGAAGTCCTCAGTGAATGGTCTCATTTTTCCTCACATGTTTGCACTATGGTAAGAACATTGAAAATCTCATTATTTCACAGGAAGAGCAATGGAGGCCCACCAAGTGCAGTGATTTTGACTGGCCAAAGACAAAATGTGAGCCATGGATAAAATCCTGACTTTTTGATTCCCAAGCTTCTATTTATATCTCTGGGACAATTTGTTTTTCAATGGGAAAATCCCTATAAATAAATAACGAGGATTTATGCAATTTTGTTTTCACTGCCAAAAGAATTGTTCTTTCATTGACTTTTTTTTTTTAAGATTTTATGTATTTATTTGACAGACAGAGAGATAGCGAGAGCAAGAACACAAGTAGGGGGAGCGGGAGAGGGAGAAGCATGATTCATTGTTTGCATATAACACCCAGTGCTCCATTCAGTACATGCCCTCTTTAACACCCATCACCAGGCTAACCCATCTCCCCACGCCCCTCCCCTCTAGAACCCTCAGTTTGTTTCTCAGGGTCCATAGTTTCTCATGGTTCGTCTCCCCCTCCGATTTCCTCCCCTACATTTTTCCCTTCCTGCTATCTTCTTCTTCTTTTTTTTTTTTTTAACATATAATGTATTATTTGTTTCAGAGGTACAGGTCTGTGATTGAACAGTCTTACACAATTCACAGCACTCACCATAGCACACACCCTTCCCAATGTCAATCACCCAGCCACCCCATCCCTCCTGCCCCCTACCAGTCTAGCAACCCTCAGTTTGTTTTCTGAGATTAAGAATTCCTCATATCAATGAGATCATATGATGCATGTCTTTCTCTGATTGACTTATTTTGCTCAGCATAATACCCTCCAGTTCCATCCACGTCATTACAAATGGCAAGATTTCATTCCTTGTGATGGCTGCATAATATTCCATTGTATATATATACACCACATCTTCTTTATCCATTCATCTGTTGATGGACATCTTGGCTCTTTCCATAGTCTGGCTTCTAGTCTTTTTTAAAAATATTTTTTCTTTTTTTAATTATGATTTTATGTATTCATTTGAAACACAGAGATACAGAGAGAGAGAGAGAGAGAGCATGAGTAGGGGGAGGGCATGGGGAGGGGGAGAGGCAGAGGGAGAGGGAGAAGCAGGCTCCCTGCTGAGCCAGAAGAGGGGCAGAGCTGAACGTGGGGCTCCATCCCAGGACCCTGGGATCATGACCCGAGGCAAAGACAGACTCTCAACCATCTGAGACACCCAGATGCCCCACTTCATTTTAGTCTTATACTTTCTCTAGTTAAGGCAGTGAATCAGTTTCTCTTATCACAGTTCTCTTTCTGAAATAAGTAGCCATTATCATCTGGCTATAAAATGTACCTTATGTCTTTTTCAAACTGTAACATTTTAAAGTTTATGATTTAATGTTTTCATAAACAACTGTAGTAACAATTACCTATTGCATGGCCATGTCTTAAACTAAACTATCTCTGAGGGTCTTCATTTAATTAATGTGAAGCAAAAGTTCCATTGATATTCTATTAGTGTTTTAATTAATCAATAGAAAAAAACAGAATGTCACAGATAATTTCTATGTTTATGAAGTAAAGGAAATTGAAGAGCTGAGCACCAATGAACTATGTTCGGTCAGTGTGGAAACAATGCTGTCACTTGCCCCAAGTCATCCATTTGCTTCCTCACCAAAGCTTCTCCTTCCTTTCATTAGTCTCTTAGTCCTTTGAGTTCATCAATAAACATTTTGTAGACACAGGAAAGGCAGATGATTTCATGGAATAATATAGTCAAGTCATGAGCCATTTCTGTAGCTACAAACACAATATTCTCACTTTTAAACTTCAAACTCACAAATCTACCTTCTGTTCACACTGTCAGCTAGTATGAGGAGCTAGGAAATGGGGAAGATGATCCGATAGAAGTTCTATGATAAAGGTTTGATTTTTCAGGCCACCTCACAAGAGTTTATTTTGTTTGTAATACACTAGTTGTTATTTCAATTACATTATTTGTTAATAGATATCTTGTTGAGTCTTCATGTTTTATAGCTTGAGTAAAGGCTATTGTCCTGATTTCTACTCCAGAATAAAGATATTTACAAAAATGTGGGTGATATTTCTATTTTTAAAGTGCTGAAAGAGTTGAGCATCTAATCAATGAATGGGCTGGGAGGGAAACTGACAAAGATGGAAAGATGTCAATAGGGAGAAAATAGACATCATACCACCTCTTCCACGGGTTTCCCTAGATGGTTTAAAGGCACTCTCTGAACACAAAATGGCTCATATTTAAATGTGTATAGCAAATAAAATCTTAAAATCAAAAATTATTTTTTTCTTTAAAAATATAACTTTTATGTTTTTCATATTAAACACAAGAGTAGAAAATTTCAACAATGTGGGTAAAAAATAAATTTACCTGCGATTCTACTACCTAGGAATGATGGCAGGTAAATTTTGGGGTGTCATCCTCCAGACATACTCTCTGTCTCTCCCTCTTCCTCTCTCACAATCTCTCTTTGAGTGCTCCAATACATTCAATGATTTTTTTTTTTTAACAACCCATCGTTTTGGATTACACACCTTTCTCCACACCCCTTTTATTGGTGACTATATGCATTGATAGTTACCTGTAAAATGTATTTAATTAGAAATACTTTCAGTGACACAGATTGAAAATAGAGGTTTTATTACACTGAGGTGATTATTACAGGGAATGAATCGTTTCCAGATAAAGAAGATACAAATCATGAAGAACTACTGTTGGCTCTACTGAAAAAAACTTTTGATTTCCAAAGACCTTCTAACATTGGTGAGTCAAGAAGTTTTTCTGTCCTCTGACTTGCTCTTTCTAAATGCATATTTATATTAAATAAAATAATAGGTACTCCCTTTTATGCTGCACTGATGGCTTAAGTGTTATTATTTCATATTCATGCTAAAAGCAATGGCATTATTAACAAATATTAAAATCCTATTTTCTTCAATTAGAAGGTCCCAGTGGGATCGGTAACCATCTAGTTACACACCAGTGATCTTTACTCATATTTTCTTCCTATCTCTGCAAATCCTCACTGGTACAGTTAATATATATATGTATATATTTTTTTACTATATGCTTCACATCTGTTCATAGGTTTCCACTAGAAATTTCACAAATTAACTGCAGTCTCATAGCAGTTTTAACACATTTTGCAATCAAATTCTCCCAATGTGGGAAATGGATGGAGTATAAACCATTGGGAAATGTAAGCTACACCAATTGAGATTTTTTTTTTCTTTGAAGAACAGGAGAATCTAATTTACAATTACGTGTGAGAATGTTTTCCAAGAAATGACAAATACTGTCAGAAACTTAGTAAGTCTAGCCTGAGAGAAAATGTGACAACATGTTAATGTGGTATACTCTCAGAAAACATCTGGGCTTCTGAAGAAAATGTCTATTCATGGGACAATGTGCTGACTACAACAATATCTTAATAAATACTTCAAAAATACAACATTTTAAAATTAGAAGTAAAATATTATCATTGAAGAAAATGAATGAAATTATAAAAAAGAAAAATTTATACTCAAATTGTAAGGGAGGGAGTTACTATTTATATTTTGGGCTTATCTTTCTCAGTTGAATTATACGGATGCTGGTGTCCTGCTTTTTTCACTTAATATTGTTTCAGAAGATTTCCTTATGTCAGTAAAATAGTTTATTTCTAAATAATAGTGCTTATTAGAACTATGGTCTATTTTATTTTACATTGATTTTTTTAAAAGACTTTATTTATTTGACAAGGACAGAGAGAGAGAGAGAGTGAGCATGAGCACAGGCAGAGGGAGAAGCAGACTCCCTGCCCAGGCTTGATTCCAAGATCCTGGGTTTAGGACCTGAATCGAAGGCAGACATTTAACCGACTGAGCCACCCAGGCACCCCAGAACTATGGCCTATTTTATTTTATTATTTTTTTTAAAGATTTTATTTATTTATTTGAGAGAGAGAGAATGAGAGACAGAGAGCACGAGAGGGAAGAGGGCAGAGGGAGAAGCAGACTCCCCGCTGAGCAGGGAGCCCGATGCGGGACTCGATCCCGGGACTCCAGGATCATGACCTGAGCCCAAGGCAGTCGCTTAACCAACTGAGCCACCCAGGCGCCCATGGCCTATTTTAGAAAGCTTTGTGCTTATTGCTAGAAATTAGGTATTTTCTCATTATATAACTGGTTGCAATTCAATATTATAGGCATTGAGAAAACATTTGGGTTTTATATCAGGGATGATGTATGGTCTTAAATCATATGAAAAAGACCTTTGCCTTTCACATAAGATCCTGAATGTGTGTCCTGAAGTGAATCAAATATTACTTGCAATGCAATTTTTCATATGACCAATGTATCTTGCAGATAGAGAACTGGTTAACAAATTGGAAGAACTTAACCAGGTGAGAATGTGAAATACTTACATTTCAATTTTAATAATAATTCTAAGGCATTTTCTTTTCTTTGGGCATAGTTTGAAAAATTATTAGTACTATACTGTAAAATTTTTGTATTCCTGCTAGAGAAAGAGTAAAGTTATTCACTAGGGAAAAAAAATAGTCAAATTACACTTAAAAAAATCAAGAAAAAAAAGAAAACCAAAACAAAACTATATATAGCTGAAGTGATCTTGAGATAAAATGTGTAGAAAATCTGGATTCTCATCCCAGCTCTCCAATTACCTAACTATAAGACCTTGGAAAAATTAAAATTTCCTGGATTTAAATCTCTTCATTTGTAAAATGGGAAGCTATACTTAGATTGGTGATTTTCAATAATATGCTTATTATTTTTAAAAGTAGAAATACTTTTTCCCAAATCAATTGGATGTGGTCCTAGTAAATGAAGCATGTGAAGGTGGAGCTGTCCTGCTTAAAGCAGCTGGTTGGGGACCTGAAGGGTCATCTTCCTGACCTGCTTTCAGCCCTCCTGATAGGGAGTCCCTTAGCAGCCTTATTCGCCCACTGCTTGACATGCTGGGAAGAAAATTTGAAAAATCACCAGATTAGATGATTTCAAAACTTGTCCACATACATGCATGCAAATCCATTATTATACAAACCGTGTGGCTGTTTGGGAGAGAGAATCATGCCCCATCACTCTGAGTAGATCACACATGGACACCCTTAGCAGCCAGGCTGAACTCTATTTTAGAGTAGAGTTCAAAAAGAAGTAGGTCTTCAGGGCATGGGCAATCAGAGAGCTTGCTAAAAATTAACATGGGTTTTATTCCAGGTAAAAACCATAGGGCCTCAAAATAATCACTTCCTGCTGGAAAGGAGAAATATTTCAGGAAATTCAAACATTTATATAACTCTTTGGAGCTCCTTAAGAGAACTGCTCGTTAGAGGTGACATAAAATCCAGTCCGGCAACACAGGCTGTATTAACAGGCTCCCCATTAATTAACACCCAGAGTGGACTTCCTTCACTATAAACTGTTTTTTTTCCCCCCTGATATCCTGTTGAGTCATGTACCTTTCCCAGCCAGTCTCTAAATACATTTCCTTGGATTTTTCCATTTAATTATTTTTGTTTATTTTCTTTATTACTTTTTCTCCTTTTCCCTTCCTTTTTTTCTCCTTTCTTTCTTCCTTTCTTCCATTTTTCCTACTCTTTTTCCTTTCTTATTCTAATTATTCCTCTTCTTCAACAGAAAGCAGCATTGTTCTTATTAAAGATTAATAATTTTTATATTTGATTCTTAACAGTTGGAAAAGCTAAAAGAGCAGTTCAAGGCGGCAAAAGATGCTGAGATATCCTATGCTATAGATGGTCTATCTTCCCATCCAAATAAGCGAGGTAAATTTTCATTTCAGTTTTAAAATTGACATCTGAAAGATTACTTTTGCAATTATTACTAAGAGGGAAGAGGTTAACTTGACATTTCTTAACCCTATGGTGATTGTCAAGACCAGGGTTCCTATTTTTAAAAAAGATGCCAATGAATATGTTCCCATATGAATATATATATCTGAGCTCTGTCATGTTTACAGGAGTGGATAATAACGTCTTACGTTCCAGGTTTAAGTAAAATAGGCCCTTATTGCCTCAAGTTGTGAACTACGGCTTGCTATTTTGCTTAAAGACTGGAGTTGGGAGAATCACAAATAGAAGCAATCAGGTTTTATTTTATTTTATTTTATTTTATTTTTTAAAGATTTATTTATTTATTTTGAGTGAGTGAGAATGAGAGAGAGAGAGAGTACATGAGAGGGGGGAGGTTAGAGGGAGAAGCAGGCTCCTCGCTGAGCGGGGAGCCCGATGCGGGACTCGATCCCGGGACTCCAGGATCATGACCTGAGCCGAAGGCAGTTGCTTAACCGACTGAGACACCCAGGCACCCCAGCAATCAGGTTTTAAATCAATTCAAATTTTAGAACATCTTTATTGAAGTAAGGAGAACCCTCATTGCTCTAACACTGGGTTCAAGGTTTGAATCATAACATTTAATTTTAGAAAGATTTGTCTTTTGGATCCCTCTTATTTTTTATAACATTTCTTGGGAAATTCTTGTTTCTTGCTGAATTGATTCTTATATCTGAAAAATGTGTATGTTTATTTCTCCATTCATATAGTGATGTGAGCCTTCCTAAGACTCATTTTATTTATTTACATTTTTCCTCTCCTCCCAGATTTGTCTTTAACTTGTTCAAAAACCTATTTCACAATGCTACTAAGTGGCAAGAGGATGCACTGGTATTATTTAAATGCTTAGCCTATACCAGACATTTTATACTTAAAGATGTCAAAATATTGTGGCTAAATACATAGGCTCTAGAGCTAAACTGCCTAGGTCCAAATCAACATTGACATTCCCTACCTGTGTGACCTTGAGCAATTATGTAACTTCTTGTGTCTCATTTTCTTTGCCCCCAAATGCAAATTGTAACAATAATTATCTTTATGAGATTGTCGGGAGGATTTGATGAGTAAATATATGAAAGGCGTTTAGAGTAATGCCTGGCATATAGTAAGTACTATGTAAGCCTAACTTGTTTTTTATGGTTTTGATCAGTACTATAATTATTATTTTATTTTCATCATAAACACCGTAGGATAGCTATTACTACACTTATTTTATAGATGAGGAAATTACATCTCAGAGAAGTGAAATTATATGCCAAAAATAACCCAACTGCTAAGTGACTCAGCTAGTGAGCCTGAAGGAGAGGGTAGTAGAAGATGAATTGGAAGCTGTAAGGGAGAGAACCTTCAGGACTAAGGTCAGAACCTAAGGACTTTAGCTTTTACTGGGTATCATATGGGACGTCACTGGAAACTTGTAGCAAAAGGAGTAATATGAGATAAGTTTTAACAGAACCACTCTGATGCTTCATGGAGAATATACTGCAAAAGATGGGCAAAGGTAGAAGCAGAGAAACCATTAGTGAAGAGAATTTAGTGGTTCAGATGGTAAGTGGTAGTAGCTTGGATTAGGGTTACAGTAGTGAATCGATAAGAAGGGGTCTGATTCTGGATATAATTTGAATTTAAAAAATCAACAAAATTTGTTGTAGGATTACATGTGGTTTGTGTTTTTTAAAAAAGGGAAGGCATCAAAAATGATTCCAAAGTTTTTGTTTTAAGCAACTAGGAAAAAGAGGGCAATTTCTATTTATTGAGCCAAAGGCAGCTGGAAGAGGAAAAAGTCTGGTGGTCTAGAAGGTTTGGGGTAGAGATTTATTGGCCCTTCCTATAATTAGCATAGCTTAGGCTATGATGTGGTACCAGTTTTAATCCAAATTTCAGAGGCCTATTATATAATAAATTCCAATGCATGTCGTACAACACTCTTCTATTTTCTGGCTATATCATCTAGAAGGTTGTTATATCTTGACTGTCCCTAATATTGCCAAGACACAGGAAAGGGATAGAGGACACATCCTAGCTCCAAACTGCCTCAGTTCAGTGACAAGTGTCACACTTCTCCTGAAGTCCATTGGCTAGAATTAGTCATGTGGGCTGCCACCAAACTATTGGCAAGATAGGCTGAGAAATTTTAGGAAGTACATATAATACTTGGGCAGCACTGCCTCTACCACACACAGTCAATCCTTCGATCTCTGCTTAACCACATAGACTATACTCAACCTATTGCCATTAGAGACAATCCCAGATCTCTTTCACTGACTGAACCCAAAACAAAGGACAGTGTCTCCAGGAGGAGATACTTACTAGTCTTCATCAGCTACAATGTGGCTTCTTCCTCTTCATTCACAGACCTGTTAGCTAAAAGGACAAATCCACTAATTGGTAGAGGACCAAGGATGGGATAATCCCTTTCATAAAGGAAATGAACAAGACACAGACAGAGTGCTACCCTCCAACAATTCTGAAATCCCACTAGGCAAATATTATAAAGATCTCCTACCCTGGGGATGAGAAAAGGTGTCTTGGCTGGAGCCTGTAATACCTAGGAGGAGTCATTTGCCCATTGTAATGCTTCACTGGCGGCACTGTTTGAAGTTTTTGCTTCTTCATTTTTATCCCTGGACACATCTTATGTGCCGCTTGGGGATTATTCCCTTCTCCAGGATGGCACAGTTTTCTCAGGTCTTATCCTACTTTTGCAAAGTTGGAAGCCCAAGGTTTATTTTGTCTTTAAATGTCAAAGATATTTTTATTTTAGGCTTTATGGTTTCTTTGACAACGATGTTCTTTCAAAAATTTAGAAAGCTTCTCATGTACTTGCTCCATGCAAATACTTTTTAAAAAAGCAATTTTAATTATTCTGCATTCTTACCCCCAACTTAGTAGCTGTTGCTTTGAAAGTGTCTGGAACATACCTTAAAGACTATATGCTTGATCTGATTTTTGCCCTGAGTTCTTTATTCCAGCTGCTATTTACAGAGCCTCTGTTGCTTGGAGTAGTTTTAAATCTCATTTTATAGTGTTTGGGATCTAGAAGAGGTTAGTTCTTTCAACATTTTGAGACCTTGTATTTCTGGACTCTCTTTATTCCCTTTGTATTTGTTGTCAAATTGTATTTGGGGATAAATTAGGCAAACTACATTAGCAAACTAACCTTACAATCTCAGTGAATTAGCTTGCTTTAAGATTTATTTTTTGATTACATGAAGTCTCATGTATGTTGGTCATTTTCCTTTACTCTGTATCTACTCTATGTGTCTCTGTAGTAGAACAGGAGAGAAATGGAGGTAAACACACTCTTAACTGCCAAAATTAGGCACATGATCTTAATCTAACTTAATAACCTCAGGGAATCACCTATTATAATTGTTCTTGTTTATTTATTATTAGTTATTGTTGTTAATCTCTTACTGTGTCCAGTTTGTAAACTAAACTTTATCATGGGTATGTATGTATCGGAAAAAACATAGTATTTATAGCATTCAGTACTACCTCCAGTTTGAGGCATCCACTGGGGGTCTTGAAACATATATCCCACAGATAAGGGGGGACTTCTGTAGTGATCTGAGTAGACCATTGAATATATAAATTTGAAGTTTAGGGAAGCAGCTCATATTGGAGATATAAATTTGATAGTTATCAACATATCAATATTGCTTAGTATTTTGATCAGACCATCTAAGGAATGACTCTAGATGTAAAAAAGAAGACTGCCAGGGCTGAAGCCCAAGTGATTCCAAGGTTAGAGTTTGGGCAGACAAGAGAATCAGCAAAGGAGACTTAATAGGAGTCGCTACCAAGGAAGGAAGTGACAAAGAAAGGAAGACTGTACTGTTTCTAGGAAGTAATGAAAGTGTATTTAAAGCTATAATATGTCCAGTAAGTTGACAACTGCAACTTTCCTTCTGAACAGGAATGAAAGATTATTAATGGCTTTGACAAGAATTGTTTGGTGGACTTTGGGCTAAAGAGAACATGATAAAACAATATTTTTATCATTAGTCAGGAACCACTGACAATAGACACCACATTTGAGAAATTTTGTTCTAAAGGATAGAAAAAATTGGGATATTAGCTAGACAAGTTTGAAGGTGGGTCAAAGAAACTTCTTTGTTTTTAAGCAAGGAGATATTAAAACATATTTGTATGTAGTAGGAATAAAATAAATATTTGTGGTGATAAACATATGAAGTAGATGCCCAGGTTAGGTCACAAAAACAACCCACATTATATTTAAACTGTGGTTCTACTGCATAATTAGAAGTTGTCTACTATAAATAACATTGTGTGAAGTTAAAATGGACCCAGAGATTCAGCTAATGCAATAGTAACTTATACTTACTGGGGAATATTATAGTTTGCTTTAATCACTTAGTATATAACTGATAGACACCTGCTAAATTCACTAAGAATGGTGCTGTCTAATGTAATAAAACACAACATCTTTTCATGATAAAAACAGGTTGGGTATTGAAGGAACATGCCTCAACATAGTAAAGGCCATATATAACAAACCCACAGTTAATATCATATTCAATGGAGAAAAATTGAAAGGGATTTCTCTGAGTTTGGGAATAAGATGAGGTTGCCCACTCTCACCACTTCTATTCAATATGGTACTGGAAGTCCTAGGTAGAGCAATTAGGAAAGACAAAGAAATAAAAGGCATCCAAATTGGGAAGGAAGAAGTAAAACTGTCACTAATTACTGATGATATGATCTTATATATACAAAATCCCCAAAAGTCAATCAAAAACCTATTGAAATGAATTAATGATACTTCAATAAGGTGGAAGATTACAAAATCAACCGACAGAAATCAGTGGAATTCCTTTATACTAATGATGAAGCATTGGAAAAATAATCCCAATTGTAACAGGACCAAAAACAATAAAATACTTAGGAATAAAATTTTATTGAATTATAGTTGATATACAATATTATTTTAGTTTCAGGTATTCAGCATAGTAATACAACATTAGGAAGTGATCACCAGGATAAATCTATCCACCATCTGTTACCATATAAAGTTTTTAAATATTTTTAACTATATTCCCTATGCTGTACATTGTATCCCCATGTCTTATTTACTTTATAACTGGGAGTTTGTACCTTTTAATCCCCTTCCTCTATTTCACTCCTTCCCTTCTGCAGCTGCCAGATTATTCTCTGTATCTAAGAGTCTGTTTCTGTTTTGTTTTGTTTGTTCATTTGTTTTATTTTTTAGAGTTTACATATAAGTGAAATCATATGGTCTTTGACTTATTTTATTTGGCTTAATACCCTTTAGGTCCATCCATGTTGTCACAAATGGCAAAATTTCATTTTTTAATGGATATTCCATCATGTGTGTGTGTGTAATCAATCTTCCTATCTATTCATCTATTGATGGACACTTAGATTGCTTCTATATCTTGGCTATTGTAAATAATGCTGCAATCAACATAGGGATGCATGTAGTTTTTTAAATTACTGCTTCCATTTTCTTCAGTTAAATACCCAGAAGTAAAATTGCTGTATCATATGATAGTTCTATTTTTAATTTTTGAGGAACATCCATACTGTTTTCCATAGTGGTTGCACAATTTTGCATTCCCACCAACAGTGCATGAAGATTCCTTTTTCTCCACATCTTTGCCAACAGCTGTTATTTATTTATTTATTTATTTATTTATTTTCATAACAGCCATTCTGACAGGTATAAGGTGATATCTCATTGTGGTTTTGATTTGCATTTCTCTGATGTTTAATGATATTGAACATCTTTTCATATGTCTGTTGGCCATTGTACAGATTCTTTGGAGAAATGTTTATTCAGGCCCTCTGTCCATTTACTTAGGAAAGAATTTAACCAAGGAAGTGAAAGATCTGCACCATGAAAACTATAAGACTTTGCTGAAAGAAATTGAAGAAGACACAAACAAATGGAAAGAAATCTGTGTTCAGAGACTGGAATAATAAATATTGTTAAAATGGCCATATTCCCCAAAGCCATCTATAGATTCCATGCAATCCTCACCAAAATACCAAAGGCATTATTCACAGAAATAGGAGAAATAATCCTAAAATTTATGTGGAACAACAAAAGACTCCAAATAGCCAAAATATTCTGAGGATAAAAGAACAAAAACTGATTTCAAACTATACTATAAAGCCATAGTAATAAAAACAGTATGGTACTGGCACAAAAATAGACATACAGGTGAGTGAAACAGAGCAGAAAGCCTAGAATTAAACCCTGGCATATAGAGTCAACTAATACTCAACAAGGGAGCCGTGAACACCCAGCGGGAGAAGGATAGTCCTTCAAAAAATGATGCTGTGAAAGTTGGAGAAACACCTGCCAAACAATGAAATTAGACCCTGATGTCATACCACTCACAAAACTTCACTTGAAGTGAATAAAAGACTTAAACATAGACCTGATAACATACAACGCCTCTAAGAAAATATAGAGCAGTAGCTTATCAATACTGGTCTCGGTAATGACTTTTTGGACATGACATCAAAAGCACAAGCAACAAAAGCAAAAATTAACAAGTGGGACCACATCAAACTCAAAGGTTTCTGCAGAGCACAAGAAACAACAAAATGAAATGGCAGGCTATGGAATGGAAGAAAATTTTAGCAAAGCATGTATTGGATAAGAGGTTAATATCTAAAAAATATAAAGAACACAACTTAATAACAACAGAAAAACCCCTAAAAACATCTAATTAAAAATGGGCAGAAGAACTAAATAGATATTTTTTTTTCTGAAAAGGATATCAAAATAGCCAAAAGACACATAAAAGATGCTCAATATCACTACTCAGCAGGGAAATGCAAATCAGAAACAGTGAGATGTCACCTCACTCCTGTGGGAATGGCTGTCATCAAGAAGACAAGAGACAAGGAGTGAAGGTGAGGATGTGGTGAAAAGGAACTCTTCTACACTATTGGTAGGAGTGTAAACTGGTCCAACCTCTATGGAAAACAACATGAAAGTTCCTCAAAAAATTAAAAATAGATTTACCATATGACCCAACACTTCCACTTCCAGGTATATATCAATGGATGAATGGATAAAAATGGTGTGTGTTGTGTGTGTGTGTGTGTGTGTGTGTAATGGAATATTATTCAACCATGAGAAAGGAGGATAACCTGCTATTTCCAATGACCTGGATGAAACGAGCACATTATGCTAAGCAAATAAGTCAGACAGAGAAAGACAAGTACTGTATGATATCACTTGTATCTGGAATCTAAAAAAGTCAAACCTATGAAAAACCAGAGAGGAAAATGGTGGTAACCAGGGGATCATGGAGGCAAGGGGTTTGGATAAGATTGATTGTGTTTAAGTATATAAACTTGTTATGAGCAGTAAATAAGTCATAGAAATCTAATGCAGTGTAATGAAAAGTGGACAATAATACTGTACTATAAAGATGTAATTTGACATAGACTACTTCAATCATATTACAATATAGAAATTTATCAAAGTAACACACTGTACACCTTAAATTTACAAAATGTAATGTCAAATTATCAAATAAAAAAAAAGAAGAAGAAAGAAAAAGTCTCCTTAGCTCTCACTCTGGTCTATTTACTTAGCTGCACTCCTAATGACTTTAGCTTTTTGGATTCAGAAGCTGACGTAGGATAGAAGCAGCACATTTGAAGAAACTTGGGGATGGGAGATGAAAAAGAAATATATAGCTGTCCAACACATAGCATCCTGATGAAAACAGGGTTACCAGAGTGAACCGAACAGACATCAGATGACACTAGAATGCTAGCAAGAGATTTCCTTCACATGATGATACATGATAAATAAGCACTGAAGAGTTTGGCTCTACTGGGGATGTCATCATTCATGACACTTCTTTTCATCCAAGTCCAGAAAATTTCCCTAACTATATTCCATTGCATACTTAATCTAGCCACTCATGAGTAATTTTTGGATATGTGTACATTTATATTTTCCTGACAGACTGAGATATTCAATGATATCTGAAGGGCCAGAAAGGGCAGTGATGATAACTTTCTGAAGCACACTATAAAGAGAAGACTGGAGTAGTGGGCCAGGCTCCTCAGTTTAATGTCTGAAAATAAACTCCTTTCATAGGATTTGAATGTGGGTTCATTTAAAGGAAGCTGTGGCTCTTGTAGAAATGAAAAGTAGACTCTGAGTGCTGTCATAACACTGTGTGTGTAGGTGGTGATGAACTTGAGGGTTCCAGGTTAGCGAGTGAATAGAGAGGAAGGGAAACCTGGCAAGCAGACAGATTTTCATCATTTATTTCAAATAGTATTTCAAAGAGTATCTTTTTAAACTCTTTTTCATTGGGCATCCCATTCATCAATTGTGAATCAAAGACCTGTCTCCCCGAGGTCTTAATTTTATAAACCATTTAGTTTGAAGGAAATTAGAGAAATTTATAATTAGTCTATGAAGCTACTAAAAGTCAGGTGATTGGGAACAACCTACAGAAGATTTAAAATGACTCATTCGTGCATTTGAAGATTAAAATACTGCTTTTTATTTTTTTTTAATTTAATATAATTTTATTATGTTATGTTTTTGATGTAGTGATCCATGATTCATTGTTTTCGTGTAACACCCAGTGCTCCATGCAGTACGTGCCCTCCTTAATACCCATCACAGGGTACCCCCCTCCCATTCCCATCTCCCCACCTCCCTCCCCTCTAAAACCCTCAGTTTGTTTCTCGGAATTAAAATACTGTTAGAATTGGTCTGATTTTTCTTAAGCATCATTTTTATGATCAGAATGTGAAGACTCAATGTGACAATTAAATTGCTTAAATAACATTTAGTGATCTGCAAAGTGAACTTTAAACTCTCTTCCTTCCTTTCCCCCCAGTAAATTGAAACATATTTATCATAGTTTTTACTCACGTGACTTCCTCTTTGAAATTTCAGTTACCCCAAATATAAAACAGAGGGGTGTATCTAATAGGATGACCTACTGTAATCTCTGAACTGTATTACATGCATTATCATGTAGAACAGTGCTATCCAATAGAACTTTCTGTGATGATGTGACCATTCTCTAATGCAGTGCCCATTATGGTAGTCACTGGCTACAAGTCACTATTGAGTACTCTAAATGTGGTTAGTGTGATGGAGAAGCTGAATTTTCAAATTTTATTTAATTTTAATTAATTTGCAGATTCACATGAGGCTAATAACAACCATATAGAACATTCCTTTTACAAAACTCTCTCATACTGAGGCACACATAACCTATTTTATTGAAATGTGATATTGCATCAAATATCCTCTTAATAAAGAATTTGTTTTGCTTTCTCTTTTAGCCTGCTTTTGGAAATACTGTGTCTGAAGTTTGTTCTCTGGATACAAAAAGAACACTAGAAAAAAGATACACAACTACTCACTACTGCTTGAAGATTGTAGCTCTTTTAAGCATAAAGAAACAGTGGCATTTATTCTGCCTATTGTATACTTAAGGTTTAAGTTGTGAATAATGACAAATCAGTTGTACTTTTGCCTGGCATGGGCTATCAAATGGCCTTGTAGTGGTCAAGTTGACAGTGTTGTATCTAATTATTATCAATTAAAATATTTTAAAAAGCACTTTGGAAAATTAAAATAAATTATATTGTCTCAGTTTATAGAAGAAATATGCATCATTGTCCTTTCTCTTTCTTATGATTGTGCTGGCTACTATCTCTTTTCTGTTCATTTGGACAACTGTCACTGAAACTACTACAACCGAATGGATACATTACTCGAAAGCAGGAATGTATGGTTTATTGGACTATAGGAGAAAGTAGTACTAGGTGTCTCAGAGATAGATACTAAGAAAACTTTCTTACAAAACAATTTGCCTTTTGGTTTCTTAATTCTCATCTCTGCCTTCTCCACAGCATCATGAACTATTTGAGATTCAGCATGTCTATAAGAGATTACACTCATTGTGCTAAAAAATAAAGAAAACAAAACAAAAACTCATTGGCTTTCTCTTGATTCTTTTTTTTTCCTTTTTTCTTTTTCACATCTGTACATCAAAATGCTCTTGCTTACAACTGAACAAGCTTATTTAATCAACAAAAGGCTGGGAGTTGAACTTCAATTTTGTCTGTCACATGTACTGGCACAGAAACATTGTCAAAGTAACTTGAAAGAGTGTTAAGGACTAGAATAGAAGGTCAGATGAGCCTACACACAGTTCCTTACTTCACAATATGGGGGAAATGCAGCTTATCTATGTAATATTAATTTTGTGGTGCTCAAAGAGAAAACTTACTCATAAGAGAGTATGAATAATATTGTTTAAGTTAAAAAAACATAAAACAAACCAAGTTGAGTAATATGTCTATAGTGTTATTTATATACTTGTTAGGAGCCACTCAAATGTACGTAAGTATTAGTTGTTCAGTAATGCCTAATTATTCCCACATATTTACACTAGTTGTAAACACAAACATAATATTGTTATAAAAAAGATAACTCTTGTTCTCATCATCTCATGTTTATTAACTTTGGAATAGTTAAACACTATGCAGGCATTTTGAACCTTCAGGGCTAAGGTCATTCAAAAAAGCTTTTGCTACTTCTTTTTAGAAGAATCCATTAAATTGTCTTTTAATAATTTGCTTTAAGAAATTTAATTCCCTAAAGCTATCTGTAGATTAAAGGTAGAATTTGCTAGACTTTTTGTAGAGTGAGAAAATTTTAAAATGATGTAATCAGGAATGAACATCCCTCATGAAAAAATTGGTTATGTAATTGATCCCAGAACATGGAAATCCATATTTACTATTTGCTCTGTGAATCTTCACAAACGAATGAGATGACTCATCACGTTCTTAACAGAAATTATGTTTTAATTTCCTGCTGTGTTAAAAGAATGCCCTATCTCAAACTAGTGTACTGCTGACTTATTTTCTATTTTGTGTAAAGTAGTGGTAGAAATGAAAATATGAAATAAAATAGTTTTAAGTGGAGGAAACATTTTTCTCTTTTTGTTCATTGAAGTCGGGTATATATTATGAGATAAATGCATTATATATTAGAATAGAGTATAAATCCATATATTGTACCTTTGACTTTAATTAAACTGAATGCCATAAGCATAACTTTGCATTAAAAAATAAAGATGCTAGGAAATCAATTTGTTTAATTTGACTTTAACCTGTGCCATGAGAAAATTTTAGGCCAATGTAGCTTACAAATATCCAGATGGAGATAAAGGGAAGAAAGAACTTCCAAAGAATAGAACACATTCTTATAATTCAGCAGAAGATTGGGGAAAAGTGGCATGAGACGGTCTAACTTCTTAAAAAATTCCTTCAAATAGTGAGTCCTACAGGATATTTGCCTCTGTATCACTGCTAATTTTCTTATGCAAGTTTACGAGAAACAGAATTGGTTAGCTCTCTCAAAATTCATTTCTCTTTGCTATAGCAGAATTTCTCTTTGTTATAGCAAAATTTAGCCTGCTTTTGGAAATACTGTGTCTGAAGTTTGTTCTCTGGATACAAAAAGAACACTAGAAAAAAGATACACAGCTACTCACTACTGCTTGAAGATTGTAGCTCTTTCAAGCATAAAGAAACAGTGGCATTTATTCTGCCTATTGTATGCTTAAGGTTTAAGTTGTGAACAATGACAAATCAGTTGTACTTTTGCCTGGCATGGACTATCAAATGGCCTTGTAGTGGTCAAGTTGACAGTGTTGTATCTAATTAACAGAATCATTCATTTATTTTTTTTCCTAAACTTAAATTTGAAGATTTTCAGCAGTTGGAAAAATTTCCCCAAAACTAAGAATTTATATACAAAGCCATGTTCATTGAAACACGTTCATATACATGTTTCTTTGAGTTCATTTTATTCTTTGAATCATACATTTATTCATTTTTTTAGTTAAAAATTACAACTATCCATTTTTCTCCCCTTGTGATATGAATATACCTTCTCAAATACTCTTCCTTTTTTATGCTAAAATAAACATCTGTCCTACTGACCAAACTTTTTTCCTCCAATATATCAGGTCTGTTTGACAGTGATTAGCAGCGTTTAAAGAAGTGTTTTCCAGAGGCTTTATGAACTTTTGCTAACTTGTGCTAAATGTCTGGTTCAAGAAATAAGTTATCTTTGTGTTTTGAAAGCATACCCAATGCATAATGGGCTTATGTACCTAAGTTGCAGTAACATCACAGCTATTGTTGAGAATTGAACTTTCCAGAACATGACACTTTATGCTTTGGTAGATCAATTAAAAATAATTTGAATCATTTTAAAGACATTATTCTTAAACATATTATACTTTTCATTGCCTTATTAAATACAGTATATGAAACCAATCAAACAGTTTCTTGGGTGAGTCAGTAACATCAAGACGATGGGCTTACTGTACTGTGTTAAAAAGTACCGTGCTAAAATTATGTGTATTTAATGAGCCCCAGCCTGCTCTAGTGGTTTACTACTTAGTGATTCTTTGCCCTCCCCCATAATTTCATCTGTTACTCCTATGTGGTTGTTCTCATAATTAGCCGCTGCCTCTCTTAATTAACTACCAGTTGTAATTTAGAGAAAATAAAAATTATTAGGGGACATGAGACCTCCAAACTTGACAAATGAGTGATATCCTTTATTTCCTAGTTTTGTCAATATGCTCTGACCTACAAGTATTTTCTCAGTTCTTTGGAAGAATAAAATTAATGGGTTCATTACTGCTGTTTTTTTCCTTGCTTATAAATCTTTCTTCTTTTATTTCTGGAACTGGGGCTATGTTTTATTTGGTTGAACCTCACTGAAATGTGACTATGTTAAAAGAAGCCCAATTTCATAATTATTACCCAAGAGGCTCACAAAGGATATAAGAGAAGTCAAATATTTAAAAGAACATATACAGCATTGTCTTTCCTTGTTCCTCAATAATAAGCAAACATATTGTACCTAAGTTGTACAGAAAAAAAATCAATCTTCAGTTATTATTCATAAATGTAAATGATAAATGCTATAGAAAGCATTTCATTGTATAGTGTGTCTTGATTGTTTCTTAGAAAAGCAAGGTTTGGAGCTAGGTAACCATTCCTGGTAACTAAAATATATATTTAAAAAAAATCCATGCATTGAAATGGTCTGCATAATTTAATTGAAGTTATAACAGTACTATGATGTGATGGACTGAAGTTTAAACTGTGGAAAGGATTTGCAGAAGGTCAGTTCCTTAAATGTTTAATCATTAATGAATGTAAAGAACTTCACTGAAGCATCTTCCGTGTTTCTGTGACATTTCACCGGAGGAAGTCATGTCTGTAAAAAGGAAAGTTGAAATTGTTAAAGCTACTGAGAGCTCCATAGATAAGGGGAATACCATCAGCTTCAATTGAGAAGAGCTAAAACTCTACATCATGTTTCATTATAGCTTTTCTCCCCTGGGACATATTTTAATTGCAAAGACAATAATACAAAATGATAATTTCAGATCAAAACACAATAAAAAGGACATCTTCAATGTATAAGCCAGTGCTTATGCTCAAGCCACTGTTCCTTTCTTTGGGTACCTGCTGTATTCTACTTCTTTTCAGTTTTCAATCATGGTTCAAGGACATTGCCATGACATGCAAAAGAAATAAAGAAAATCTAACTATTACTTTCTGTTTATTGCTATGATAACACATTGATACTTATAGTATATTTTGCTCTACTTAAAGGGACCAACCATAATACTGCCATTTAAATATGATTTTTCTGCTCTTTGAGAGTTCTGTTAATATATTTGAGTGATAGTGCATCAATATTGGTCTAAAATAAAAAAATTGTCGGGGTGCCTGGGTGGCTCAGTCGTTGAGTGTCTCTGCCTTCGGCTGAGGTCATGATCCCAGGGTCCTGGGATCAAGCCCCGCATCAGGCTCCCTGCTCAGCGGGAAGCCTTCTTCTCCCTCTCCCACTCCCTCGGCTTGTGTTCCCTCTCTTGCTTCTCTCTCTCTCTCTCTCTCTCTGTCAAATAAATAAATAAAATCTTTAAAAAAAATTGTCAGTATAATAAGCAACATGTGCCTTACATTATTAAAAGTCTTAGTGCAGGGCGCCTGGGTGGCTCAGTTGGTTAAGTGACTGCCTTCGGCTCAGGTCATGATCCTGGAGTCTCGGGATCGAGTCCCGCATCGGGCTCCCTGCTCGGCGGGGAGTCTGCTTCTCCCTCTGACCCTCCCCACTCTCGTGCTCTCTGTCTCTCTCAAATAAATAAATAAAAATCTTAAAAAAAAAAGTCTTAGTGCATGTGGCAGCAAGGGGTAGCATAATTAGTAGTCCTATGTCTACCCAATTTCATCAGGAAGACATCCTGCCTTCAATGGCAGAGACCTAGAACTTTTTAATTCCATTTAGAGAAGCTGTGAAACCTTACACAAAATCTCTCTCTGAATTTGAGTTGCTTAGAGCTGACGCCTATAAAAAAACTCAAAATTGTGGTCTAATATGTTAGTGATTTGAGGTAGACATTGTTGCAAATACCAGGTTATCTTCCTTTTCAAAACACATACTGAGAAGAGGTTAACATTTGTTCTGGAAACTAGGTAACATACAGTGGCTATATCTAGATCTAAACTCAAACCACGCAAAACTTCCACAATTAGAACTAGTTTCACTTTTAGTGTGAAGACTTATAGTGAAACCCAGAAGGTGAAAACCCATGAATAAACCTTCTTTAAAAGAGTATACATTAACTCCCACAGAAGTGGAATAAAGATTTTCACAAAGTCTAACATATTGCCTCTGTTTGTTTTAGAAATGTGTAAAGCCGAGAAGTTGGCATCCAGCAATGACAACTTAACCTCCTGAAGACGTTATAGGTCATGAAGAGAATGCTGGCCTAGAAGTCCAGAGACCTGGGTTCTGGCTCTTGCTCTGAGTGTCTGTAAAATTTTGAGCAAATCAATTTCCTCTCACAGGCCCAATGTCCTCATTTGTAAAAAACAAAACAAAACAAAAGGGTTGGATTAAATGAGACTATGTTCTTGAATCATTCAGTGACTTAATCCAAAAACTAAGAAACAATATACCAGAAAATGATTTTGAAAAGTTAAATGGAAATTAGACATATATTTTTTATTTTTTTATTATTCCTAAACTATAAAACATAAAACTTCACAAGTTGAAGTAAAAAAGGATCTGAAAAATCTTGGTCATAGTGGCAGGAAATAATGAATAGAAATCTAATGGTTGACCGGAGCACCTGCAATGATTGACAAAAGGGAAAGAGAAAATACATGATGTTACGTTTTATTCTAAACCTATTCTTTTGTGATATTACTGTCTTGAAACTTTAATAATAAGGACAGTGGTTGTCATCATACTCACCAAAGCCTACTAAATCAAGGACATAATATATGAATTTGGATTTCACCCATAGTGATTCCGGAAACATTATATTAATTCAAATACCTTTCCATAGTTTAGTGGCTATCTGGAGTTTAGATGGTCTAAAACTTCATGTGAAAATTTATATGAAAATGAGTTTCCTGCATGATTTTTTTAAGTCATAACCTGTTTTGGTTTAATTCAGAAATACTAGAATGGGTGATAATCCAGGGAGTCCAAGGTAATAGAGTACATGTGGAAACAATCAAAGTTGATTATTTTAATCTCAGTGTCAGAATGTTCTCAACACATCAAGAAACTGGAGGATTGTGATCCTGATTTCAAGGAGTTACTTGGTTTTTAATAGCAATTAGTTAGGTCCTACTCAAATAAAATGTGGTGATTTTTAACAATTCTGAAGAATGACCATACTTGGTATATCTCTAGACATAAAGTTCAATCCACATTTTGAAGATGGTACTCCTCAAAATGCACTTTCTTCACAGTACTCATTAAGTCCTCTTATATTTGTGGACATTCAGTAACCTCATAACTTCATTGATCAAAGCTCCATAAAAGAAAAAAAATTTCTTTTAACTAAGTCATTCTGAGAATAAGAAAGTTGAAGTAAAATATTCACTTCTCATTGTGGTTTAGGGGTTTTGATGAAGAGAACAAACTGGCATGATTTAAATTGAGAGGTTCAGGGTTAATGCGATGCTTTAGGTGACTCTGCATCATTGGTCTAAAGATCATACTGAGAGAAATAAAAAGCATGAAAGTCATGCTTGAAATTGTCAAAACAGTTCCAGTTTGTCTCATCTGCTTGGGGGGGAGGATGAATCCTCGGTAAGCTTTCCTGAGAAAAAATACATTGCCTAGGTTTTATGTTTAACATTTCATGTTTAAAATATATAATATATATGGCTAAATATTTGAAAATATAAGCTCAGAATTTAAACTTTGTGGATTTAAATGCTACTTACATCACTAGCTCAATGCCATATAATATACAATATTGTATAATAATAATAATAATAATAATAATTGAGCACTTACATGTCAGACACTGTTCTAAATGTTTAATATGTATTAATTCCTTTAGTCCTCTGGACAATGTAATGTGGTTGAACTTTATTATTATCCTCATTTTACGGAGGGGGATTTCAGAATTTAACCAAGGTCCCACCGCTAACAGATAGAGGAACTGGAATTTGACCCACAAAGTGGTTCTCTGCAGCTGCCACTTTTACCTCTTACACTGTACTACTTCTCAAGATACTGGAGACAGTAATAGGACCCACTTTATGGAGCAGGATGATTAAATGAAGCAGTATGTGCATAGTACTAAGTATAGGGCCCAGCACAGAGTAAATTTTCAGAACTGTAATCTAAGATCACTTGCATGTCTTGTGTGCCCAATACACATCTAATTTAATTCTCACAATACTACTATGTTACTATCTAAATATACAAGATGTACGGAAATAAGATATGGAAACAGGATAATGAATGAAGGAGTGACAGAGCTAGGATTTGGATTAGGTGTTGTTATTCCATGGCTAATACTCTTTCTGCTACACCCTTCTCTCTCTTCTGTTCCATGTTATCATAGATCTGGGAATGTAGTTATTGGTAACAAAATGGTGTATGTCACTGAAATGTGTCTTCTTTATAATAGAGGGATTACTACACAGTTATGTATATGTATGAAGGTGATTTATTATGTCAATTAGAATTTTAACCATTGTTCACATATTAATATTCAATAATTATATAAGAATCTGTGGGAATAACTGAATGTATTTTATGGCGAAGTTGATCTAGGACATTCCTTTGCTTCTTTAGTGTCATTTAAGCTACTTAGCCTCAATATACTAATTATTACAGAAGAATTGAAGCAGTGAATTTATAAGCTAGGAAAGTAAAAGGGCAATTTATAAATCAAGATGGATCAATGAGCCCACTGTGAGATGTTAATCAGAAGCCTGCATATACTCAAATTGTACTCACGGTTGGAATCAATTAGCCTCTGGAATTAGAGAGACGGTTTCCACCAATCCGATCCACTGGGGTACCAAATCGCCTTTTTGGATGATCTACTACTTTTCTGAAACAAACCAAGGAGAATATTTTTAAGCTAAAGTCTAAGTTATCAATTAATGACTTTTGCTCTTTTATTTCTTGCAGATCTGGGGGCTTTCTCTGGGAGTTGGCACACGATAGTTACCATTCATCAGCACCCACTATGTGCCGGACACTATCTCTTATCCTTTCAACATCGGTCAAAGTGAATGTAACTACCTCTACTTTATATCTGAGGAATCTGAAGCTTTGAGAAATTAAATTACTTATCCAAAATCAAACAGTGCTGATGAAAAGCCAGGTCTTATCAGCATACCAACCTGCTAAGTGTTTAGTTTGGGTAAGTCCCTTTCTCTCTTCAAATGTTGGTGTATTCCTCTGTTAATGAAAGACACACTAGGTCAGTGGTTTTCCCCAGTCTCTGACTCAGAACTGTTCTTCCAGGGAAGAATCGTTCTGGGGGAGGAAAAATGTGCTGATGCCAACACTGAATGTGGAGTAAGTGTGCTTCTCATGTCTTCACTCGGATTTTACCCAGAGAAGCTTTGTACACAGTGGTCTATGTCTGCTATATATTCTCTGTGCCAAATGTTATTTGGAAGAAATAAGCTTCGTTATTAACATGAAGTTTAAAAAATCCAACAAGAGAACTTCCAGCTTATATGTTTTGTAAATTCTCTCTTGAGAAAGAAGAAACATTTTAATTTGCTTTGTTATTGCCAACACTTAGTTCTATCAAGTCAAAATCCTAATAGGGGAGGTCCCAGAACTCTCAGAACATAACTTTCACTGGCCTTGGAGTTATGAAAAGTTTTGAGTTTTCTTAATGGAGATAGAGACAACTGAATCAGTTTTCAACAGCTTAAAGAATTAAAAAGATTTGTTTCAGAATATTTTGAATAGCTTCTATTCTAACTACTTGCATTAGATTGTCAATATACACTATACAATTTAAGCACTAAAAATGAATGAAAACTTCAACATGATTTTCCCTTATTATCATTTATTATGTAACTTGTATGTAAGGATGTTTTTGTGGCTGTCTTGGGATTGATAAGTCAAACATAGCCTTTGCTTTCAAAAACCTACAATTAAGTACTCTCAGATGAGTAATGATTTAATGTCAATAAGTGGAGGAAAAAAATCTCTCATTTTTTTTGACACCAAGTTTTTACCTTAACTACCAGGTCTAATCAGTGTTCCTTATATCACTATTAGGTAAATAATTGATTTAAAAGCTCTGAGAAGTATAGAGAATAATGGAAAATGGGGCATTTTTATTACTGTGTCTTGCACATAGAACATTCCATAAACACTGCTTGATTGTAATCAAAACAATAAATTTGATGGTAATTAATATTTATTTAATGCTTTATATATGCCAGGCACTGTGCTTAGTACTATGTAGACAGAGATGATAAAAATAGGCATGAACCTGATTTGGAGCTTATCCCTAAATGATATTGTAGGAATAGGGCACAGGGCCACATTATGTTATTTGTTTGTTTATTTTTACCTAATTCAGCCTTCTTTTCTGTTGATTCAGAAGGTTGGCCTTTAGTTTTGCTAGTCAATGCAGACAGCATCATATATATGATCTTAAAAGGATGTCTGCTAGACAACAGTTTGATCAGTGGGGGAAAATGCAGGAAAAAAAAATATTTAGTGCTCTTCCTTAACCTAGCCATACCTCTGCCTCTACTCTTCAAATTTCTGAAAAACATACCCTTTTAAGTGAAGTCTATCATTTGTACTTCTGGATTTTTTTTGGTACTACATTGACTGCATATTATTCAACTTGATAATCAAAGGAGAAACACCTTACCTGTAAAATTAGCATAAAATTAATGATGAAGAGTCATAGGAAGTATGCATATCAGTTGTGCTTAGGTATTCTGATGTAAATATAAATAATTATTGTTGGAAAAAAGAAAAAATACCTCTTATATTTTTTATTTTATTCGCATAATTTAGAGACTTTTATTTTAAGCAGTTATTTTCCTTGTAGTAAGAATAAGGTCTCCTCAAGGATGTCCACACCATAATCTACAGAATCCCTAAGCAAGTCACCTTACCTAGCAAAAGAGACTTTGCAGATAGGATTAAAAAGGACCATGAGATGAGAAGATTATCCTGGATTATCTGGGTAGGTGTAATCTAGTCTAGTGTCTGAAAAAGCGGAAGATGACTGAAAAAGAGAGGGTTGGTCAGAGAGCTGCACTCTGAGAAGGACTTAACCCACCATCACTGGCCTTGAGGGTAATGTTGTTGATATATATTAAAAAAAATCAGACTGCTATGATCTTTTATTCCTTGAACCTTTCAATTCCTTTACTGACTACCTCCATCAGAACTCCAGGAAAGGGGTAAGATAGAAGCCACCTCAGGGTGGACGAGAGTGCTCAGGAGAAGTTCCAGACCTGTAGGAAGAGGAAGTGAAAAACCAACCCCTTCTGCTATTTAAAGTACTAGTGAGAAGGGGAAGGAAATGGCAGCTGGGAAGAAGAGTAGTGTCACACATGTGAACTGACCTCTCAAAGCACCTGTGGAATGGACCGTGGCAGGAAACGTAACACTTTTGCTTTCCTTTTGGTCTCATGCATCTTTATAAATTAGAACAGAACATTTATTGGTTAAGAGTACTAATGCAAACTAATGATGTACTATATCTTGGCTAATTGAATTTAAATAAAAAAGAGTACTAATTCATTTTTTTCAAAAATAAAGGTAAAATAAATGAAAATAGCATTTTTTCTTTCTTTCCTACTGTTGATCTTTTTTGCTCAAGCAAATAAGAGGCAACTGTAGTGGTCGGAAGCAAAATAAATTCTTTTTTCCTTCCTTCTTCCCTCATTCCATGTTCTTTCCTTCCATTCTTTCCCCAAGATTTGATTAGGAACCAGGATATGAAAGACTTAGATTCGATTTGATTCTTCTACTTATCCATAGTGTAAGCATTTGTAGGACTGTTGTCCTTCTGAGCTTCTCTTTCTTTTTTGATAAGATTTACATAAAACCTGTTCTACCTATCTTTCAGACCAGTTTGTTTATTTAACACTTATTTCTTAAGTAAATTTGATTGCTTTGTGCACAATCATTGTTAGTTTTTCTCTGCACTGGGGATACAGTGATGAATAAGACATACATTGCCTGAGAAAAGCTAATGAGGTAACACACCTGAAATCATTTTATACATTTTAACTGATTCTACTATTATTTCCTATCAGTCCTGTCCATTGGCTTTCAAACTATTTGTAGCTTACTATTTCTACAAACAAAAGCTTTATAAAAGAGATCAATACCTAAAATGTTAAGTGAAGAACTGTCCCTGGAAAGAAGTGCCCCCCCTTCTCCATATATGGTGGTCCCTGAAAGAGCTTCCAGAAACCACTAAGGGTGCTTAGAGCAGAGTTTGGAAAACCACTGATCAAGTGGAAATGAATGTTTTTGCTTTAGCCATAGATCCGTAATTACTTTGATTCATTTTCTAAAACTTGGGATTGGTTTCAAGTGCTCACATTGTATCTTGAAATCAAATAAGAAAAATAAATAAATATATGTGAAAAGCCATTCAGAATTTAAAATTTTTAGCACGAATACAAAATTAAAACAATTATTCCCATAAAGCAATTAAACAAAAAAATGACCATAGCTCAGTAAGTTAAATAATTTCTATACAGTCTCCAACCATTTAGAAGTAAAATGGCAAACTAGTATTTATCTTAAGATTTTTGCTGATATGAAATATGTATCACAGTACCACACTCTGTAACACATACTCTTGTAGGAATAAACATTGTGTAAAACATAAATGTTATGACAGTGAAATATTCTTAAGACCAAAGGGAAAAACTGTACTTTCTGACTAGTCCCTCTTGTGACAAAATAATGTTATGACATGGCTTATATTATATATCCATGTTACCTTTTCCATTTTAAAAGATTCTGAAATAGTTTAAGGATGCAAAATATCTGCCAAACTAATAAAGAGAATGGATTGATTATTTTAAATACAACTTTAAACTTTACACTAAAATATACTTCTTGCATTAAATAGGATTTCTTAAACATTTATATTCTTTGATAATCCAGTTTCTGAAAAAATTTTTACATTCTAAAACAACACAGTTAGAAAATGTGTATTTAAATGCTTTATTGAAAATCACTCCAACATACAAAATAGCCCATAGATTTATCTATGTTCAGTTTCTTTTTTTTTTAAGATTTTATTTATTTGACAGAGAGAGAAAGGGCACACAAGTAGGCAGAGCAGTAGGCAGACGGAGAGGGAGAAGCAGGCTCCCCACTGAGCAGGGAGCCCGATGAGGGGCTCGATCCCAGGACCCTGGGATCATGACCTGAGCCGAAGGCAGACACTTAATTGACTGAGCCACCCAGGCGCCCCTATCTATGTTCAGTTTAAAGAAAAATAACATGAACACTTCTGTTGGCACCAAATGAAGAAATAGAATATTACCAACACCTTGGAATTCCCCAGTGTTCTTGCTTCCAAATTGCATCCCTATCATGGCTTGGTCCCAGAAGTAATCTGTAGACTGAATTTTGGTTTAATTATACCCTTGCTTTTCCTTATAATCTCTATTTATTATTCAAAACTCTCCTGTTTAGTGTAGATGGTTCTAAAATTTTACTTAAAAGAAATCGTGTATGAAGTTTTCTTGACTTCTTTCAGCAAATATTTTGTTTTGAGATTTGTCCATGTTGAGATATATAGCTGAAGTTCTTTGTTTTCATTGCTGTATAATATTTTATGGTATTAATATACAATAGCTTATTTAGACATTCCACCACAGATGGAAATTTCAGTTATTTTCTTTTTTGTCGTTATGTACCCCTCAGATGAAAATTTTCTTATAGATGCCTTTAATGCACATTTAAGGATTTCTCTCAAGTGTGCTTTTAGAAGTACAATTGTCAGCTATGCCTATACTTAATTATATTGCATAGTGCCAGACTGTTCCAAAGTTGTACCAATTTACATATTCAAGAGCAGAGTATGACAGCTCCTATTGTTTCAAGGCTAGGCCAGCCCTTGCAATGCGGGATTTTCGTTTTTCTTTTCCTTCCCCGATGTTCATCTGTTTTGTTTCTTAAATTCCAAAATGAGTGAGATCATATGATATTTGTCTTTCTCTGACTTATTTTGCTTGGCATAATACCCTCTAGGTCCATACACGTTGCTGCAAATGGTAAGATTTCAAGCATTTGTAATTTTATCTCACTGTGCTTTTAACTTGTTTCCTCGGAATACGTTTCTCCCTTTTTCCTTTGTTTATTGGCTACTTGGATTTCTTCTTTTGGAAGTGTCTGTTCAAATCT